TCATGGTATAATTAAATCCTTACTCTTCAGGTTGTTCAAATGCTCCCCATTTTCAGCACAACCTGCAGGCTGACAAGGTTTTCTAGAGCTGTGAGTTACCGAGACAGGTAGTAAGATCTGAAAAATATGTTTGGCTGCTAGGATCTTGCATATTTTAAACATTGGTGGTAAAGAGGGATTACCGGAGCTGCATGCATTTGTAATGTGCCTGAAAGCTTGCAAAGAAAGAATTTGGTTTGCTGTTTTTTAGTTGGTCTAATAAAAGGTATCACCTCTGAACCAAGAGTTTGAGAGTTTTGTATTTCTTTTTGTCTCAAACCAACATGGCTACAAAAAAGATCCCTGAAACTTGGAAGATAACTGTGCTGTTGGCAAGGAGCACTTGGAGTTGAGAGTGGGGGAGCTGAGGCTGATGCCTTTCCCTGAATGAGTGTATAAGTCCAAATAAATAACCAGGCATCAGAATGGGTGGGAAAGTGCTGTATTCAGGACTAGGGGGCTCTGTGGCTGCTTTAAAAGCTGGGAAGCTCTGGGCTCATGGTGGCATCAGCTCTTTTCTTGATTTCATTCTTAATTTTTAAAGTATTCTTACTCCACCATCTCTCCTGATGCTTGTCTTCCACTTCTGCTAAGTCATTCATTCTGCAGGTAGCTGCTGGAGACAGTTATGGAGAAGAAGTGCTCTGTCTATATGTGTGTGTGTGACACAGATAGCACTGCTTGTAGGATCAGGAAGTATTGCTTCAAGAATTTACAAAGCTAGTGATATGGTCTCAAGCTTCCCCTGCGGCACGTGTGGAAAGCATTGGCCTGTGATCCCAAGCATGGTGTCCCGTCACTGCAGCAGCCTTTCTGAGACCCTCCTTCCTCTGCTCTCTTGTGTCTCTCTGCAGCTGTACCAGCCTTTGTCATACATGTAGTTGTCCTTGTCTTGCAGGTCTGTTTCCACTACTTCTTCAGGTGCATCTACTCATCCCACTCATTGCAATGGGTGACTGGTGAGATAGGAAAGTTGCCACTCATGCATCCTCAGCCAGTCTCTGATGGAACAGAAACCTCTAAAAGCTTGAACTCTTCAGCTGGGCTCACACCCTGCTGAGCCCTCCCTGACCCCTCCTAAGCACCCAGATCTCACTGCATACCTACACACCCCCTGGACTCTCCCCACCCACAATCCCTCTTGGTCACTACTGCCATCACACCCCTCTTCATCCCTACTGCCCCTGCCATCCTGCCCAGATGCTAACACCGTCTGGTCTTTCTCACTAACTAGAACCCTGCAAGGAATACCACGCTGGGGACAGGAGAAGGGGTCCTGAGGGGGATAATTTTGGGTCCTGGAAGGAATATTTGCAACACACGGACAGTTGGGGCTGGGGGAAGATTTTCTTCAGTCACTTACAACACCCCTACCAAAGGTGACCAGCCCCTCTGGATCTGACTGTACTTATCTGTATGTCACCTACTGGCTGTACCACTAGTTCAGGCTCCATCATCTGCTGCAATGTATAACCCAGGAAAGCATCATTTCAGTAACTTACCTTTTTGCATCACCTTTGCAATTCTCTCCTGCCTCTGAATGCTGCACAACTGCCCTGCTTAGCCTGCCTTCAGCTCTGCCCCTTCCCTCCCTGTGTCTGATTTGTTGTGGGTTCGAAGCCCCTAGGAACAAAGTCACCTAGTACAGGTTCCTAGAGTACACCTTGATTGGACATGCTGGGAGGGGAGCTGAGCAACATTACCAGGAGTAGATAACAGACAGGATCATTTTAAGAGAGAGGCTAACCTAAATAGTGGAAGATCAATAATGGCTAACACCTATGGAGGGTAGAGATTAGCAGAAATCAGATAATGAACCTAGAAGTCAGTTGACTCCCTCAGCTCCACCTGAACAGAAATATGTCCATTATTGCCAGGTGGTTTGTTTTAAACTCTGTGAAGTGGGAATCAAAGGGGAGTGTGACTACTCCACCAACCCACCCTTGAACCACCCCTCTGTACTTCACTGTGATTAGAGATGGGGAAAAGAGATGGTGAATTTTCTTCTGGCATCTTTCTGTTTGCTGAGTATTAGTATTTCTGGGCAACAACTCTGAGCTAGTGTGTTCCTGAGCAAGCCTCAGTTTATCTATGTTTCAGATGGTTTCTAATACTTTGCTATCTCAAAGGGGAGTTAGGATTAGCTAGTGTTTGAAAAGCATCTGCAGAGCCTGTGAGAGAAGTCTTCTTACAAAAGCCAAGAGTCAATATAGTTATTACAGTGTTATGCTGTGGGATTAATGCATATTTCAGTTATGATGAGTAGGAAGAAGAAGGTTTGAATTAAAACTACCTTTTCGAACATGATGATGTCGGAAGTTACTGTGCTTGTGTGCGTGCATGTACATGGGGAGGCAGGGGTATAGGTGTGTTAGTGATACAAAATGTGCTACTGAAGTCAGTATTTCCTTTCAGGATCCAACCAGTGATATATGAAATACCATATTCATTTTCTGGGATTAAAATAAGGAAAAACATGTCCGCACCCTAACCGTAACCCTTTGACAGTTCTAGTATTAACTGGCAAATGCTGCCTTTCTCAAGGTAACCAGGCTCAAGACTTCCATTCTTGCACATAGAAAGGAAGACTTCCAAACTCCAGTTCTCATTACGTGCGATATGAGCCACACTGAGTAGAAGCGAGCTGCCTTTTTAGCGGTCTCTTGCTGCCAAGATTATGATGCTAGAGCTCTCATGCCATTTCTCTGGACGATTTGCTTGAACATGTTGGGATGTTTCAGATATTCCCATAGAGAAGATGACATGTAGTCCGTTATGTATTGCTGCGACATCCTACAGCTTGTTAAATTTGTGTTGATGCATCACTGATGCAAAATTTCTTGAGTATGACGGTTCCTGGTAAATGCAGCTTTTTGTTGCTGAATATGATCTTTCTGTCACTGGCAGCTTTCCATTGACCTCTGAGAAAAATGGACCAACCCTGTATGCATCCCAGCCTACAAGATGCTGAGTACCCTCCACTCTCATCAGCTTCTGTGGGAGTACAGGGTGCTTAGCACTGGTCAAAATTGGGCCCTTGAGACTAAAGTAGATTACTGTATTTACTCGAATCCAAGGTGAGGTATGTGGGCAGGGGGTGAAGACTCATCTAGGATTCAAGTGCCAGCCTAGGCTTAGTTCAAACTTTGGCTCCAGGGATGAAGGCAGAGTTGAGTCTCCACTTGCCCCAGGCTGGATTGGCTCATTTGGTGGGGGAGGGGGCTTGTGGCTGGGGGAGCTTTGAGGAAACCACAGCATGGTTTCCCCTACACCCTGTTCCCCCCGCCACTCCCCTGTACCCTGATCTGCCCTGCAGCCTGCCCACCCCATACCAGCTGCCCCTTTTGCTCCGGCTCTGGTCCCTCCAGCCCTGACCTGGCCTGGCCACAAGCTGCTGCTGCTGCTTCTTCCTAGCTGGGCTGGACTGGGGCCAGGGCCCCCACTGCCACTGAGTGCCCAAGAGCTGAAGCAGAGCTACAGCAGAAGGTAAGGGGCACGGGTGAGTGAGGAGTGGAGGGGCAGGCACAGGGAGGCAAAGGGTGGAGGGGGGGACAGGATGCAGGGAAGGTAGAAGGGGTAGGCAGCAGGCTGCAGGGGCGAGTAGGAGGAGGTTGGGGGCAAGCTGTAGGGAGGAGCAGGAGGGGGCAGACAGGCATGGAGGGGCAGGTGGCAGGGGCCATGCAGCAGGAGGTACATGGCAGGGGGCAGGCAGGGGAGCAAGGGGCAGAGGATTTCCCTGGAGTTCCATGGCAGTGGGGAGAACAAATTTAAGATGACCTTCCACTAATTGGATTCTGTAGCTGGAAAATTATAACATATCTATAATTTTCCAGGTATAGAAACTCAATTATCGATGGGGAGGGTTGTCTTAAATTTAGAGTTATCTGGGATTCTGGTCAATACGGTATATCTCAATATATAGAGAGTGTTTTAGATTCACTGTTTTATCATCCACAAAAATCCTTGCCTCTTGCATGAATATCCTGGGCAATTTTTCATGAATTGTATATTCCAGTTGCCATTTTTCCAAGGTACCTCTTGCACTCGAAGCACTATAGCTTGCATAAATAATATTATACCCCTTCTAGTTAAACAGTTAGCCTGCTTTAGGCTTAAAGCAAGTTAACTCTGCGCTTGTGAAAACAGTTGGAACTGTTTAAGCAAAACTCCCAAATGGGGCTTGCTCTGAGCAGTTAATTAGATTGTGTTAGCGGAAGTGATTCTCCTCTCAAAATTAATGCTCTGAGCAACAAGGGGCCTAGAGGTTCTCAGTAGCAGCGACCTGCTCCTGCATCCAGATGGCTGAGCTGCTTTTATTCAAATGGTAAGGATGCTGCTGTGCGAGGCTGGTGACAATTCTTGGGGAGCATGGCCTGAATTATGTCTCGTTCCATGTTATGAGGGGATAATTCGTTACAAATGTACATGGGTGGGGGCTTTGGGTGGAAGACGCTGTTGAAACAAAGTATTTTATGATTGTTGCTACTGTGAGAAGAGGATGTTGTGTTGGCATAGAATGAGTGAAACTGTTCTGAATGCAGGGATGTCCAGCCATTGCAACATGTGTACTTATTCCAATCCTTGTGTTTTTTGGCTGCTAAATGTTGCTTCGGTAACTCTACAGTATGCAAAACCTTGCGCTCTGAGTTGATACTGCTCTGGGATCTCAATAGCAAAACATCATTTTATTTTATTCATACAAGGAAGAGGGACAATCTCTTAATGCTGTAAAACGATTTAAAGATTTCAGCATAATATCAGGTGGAGGGAGTTTCCTGCTAGGTAAGTAATAGCTGTATCCTAGACTAACAAGCACCTGTGAGAGCTGACACAGCTGGATTCTGTACTTGCTTTGTAAAATAGTTCCAAGTCGCATCTAAGTGAAAATAGCTTTCTTTTGGCAGCTGCTAAGGATTACCATTTAATTCAGTACTGATCTTGTGGCGGTGTTTGTTTTTCAGAATCAAGCATGAAAATATTGTTGCTTTGGAAGATATATATGAGAGTCCAAACCACTTATATCTCGTTATGCAACTGTAAGTACTCAAGTTAATTAAGTTTATTTATTTAACCATCCTGTCAAAATTATCCATGGCTCTTATTATAGGGGTTTTTGTTGTTTCTTTTAAACCAAAAAAGTGGAATAGACCAGAAATATTTATTTCATTTTCTTTCCCTGAAAGCTAGGAGGAATGACTAAAAAAATGCGGGCCAGATTGCCTCATACACTGTCTGAAATTGTTAAATTATGTATTCTGTAAATAGCCTCATTCAAATTTGTGTGATAGTTTGCAGAGTACAGTACTAACTGGCTTGCATAAAGGGATCAGCATTTGGCATGGGCTTTCTCCTTCCCCTCTCTCACATGTATATACACACCACATACTTCATTTATGTCTCACAGACTTTGTTTTTATGGGCTGCACGGTCTTTATCTCTTGTTTCAGAAGGAATGAAAAACGGATGACAAAAATAAACTAATCTTGGTTGATTCACAGACGTATAAACTGTGCAATGTGATGCATATGAGAGAGGGAGAATCAAATTGCCACAGTTTAGTTGTCTGTGAATCAACCAAGATTAGATTTTTTTTTTGGTCTTTCCTCTTTGGTTCTTTCTGAAACAAGAGATAGAGACTACGCAGCCCATAAAAACAAAGCCTATGTAGTATAAATGAAGTATGTGTTTTGTACTGACAAACAGAAGGTCAAAGATGATGAACATGCAAGTTGGCATTTAAATATGGAAATTAGATTGTACCCACTAGCCAGTTGTGAAGAAAACTTCTTCCTTGTCTAAGTATTACTGACAGAGTTGATAAGGGCTCTACACTGAATACCTAGCCACATTTGAGCCAACGAGAGAATCATCCATCATCACTGGCACATCAGCTCACCCTAACCATAGCCCTCTGAACAGCATTTCTCTTGAAACAAAAGTGTGCATGCATAGCTCATCTACATCAGAAACTTGTTATGTGAACGTTGGTGGCTTGGTGGAACATCTCATCTCCCCCGTGCTCACCGTGTCTCACTGGCAGTGCAGATCTCTGTTGCATTCATTTTCTGGAGTGAACTTCTCTGAAGTCACATTCACAGGAGAGTTCCTTCCCCTCTCCCATTTGGCACAACTGTAGCTTTCCTTCTCCCCTGTTTTTTTTCCTTCTGCTACACTTTAATAAGTGAGACATTTCATATCAGAGGCCAGGAGGATTGCTTTGGTGTCGCCAAGTGATCTCTTCAGTCAGAATATTGAAAGGGGTCAGCAACAGGCATGTGTGGGAATGAAAATTAGACTCCTGGATATCCAGGGCTCTAAAAAAACTGAAGTTTAAAAAAGCGGAGCAGGGCATGGTCCCAGACCAAGCCCTGAGGCAACTGGAGGCTGGGTCCTCCACAGAGATGCTCTGGCTGCCAAAGAAGATACATATTCAAGGGGTTTTCTTTCTGGAATCCAGTTTAAAATCCCTGACTTGAAATCCAACTTTCCTCTTACTCATGTAATACTATAAATCTCCTGTTGTCAGTCAGCTGGATCATTACGGTGCCAGATACATATAATAGAATTATTTGTTACAGAAACACCCTGGGTCCTGCTGCGTTAGGTGCTATATAAACAATTAAGTGAAGAAAGTGCTATAAAGCAAGCTGTACTGGAACATGAGAGTCCTACAAATTCCAGCAAATGAAGTAAATTCCATTAAACTCAGATTTTATGATGTGTTAGCAGGGATCTCCTGCTTTTGTTCAACTCAACCAAAATCTCGGTATTCTGGTGGTGGTGTTATTTATTACGAATGTGCCGCTTTTTCCAAATTCTGTCTCATCTGAATTTCTAGCGTAGCTCAAATTTGTATTGGGTCTTGAATCTAAAATTCTGAGCAAAACCAAAATCTGTAGTTCTGAATCTGTGGTTTTAAGAATCGTTCACAGTAAAATCCCAATTTATTGTTCTGAACCTTTGTCTTTAAGAAAATATGATGCTTACAGCTACTTTTGAGATTCTCTTGTTTTCCATTTTGATTACGGGTAACAACCTGAAGGACTGTTTGGGCTCAAATTAAAAGGAAGAAGATGGAGTTTGAATGTCAGGAGAGACTTCCTAGCTGTGAGATCAGAGGGAGGACTAGACGACCCTCCTTTTTCAGAAAGGTTGGACAGAGCACTAGAAATACCTGAAAACAAAAATGTTTCCTGATCTCAGGGGAATAAAGGATTTCTCCATCAATTAATTCTAAGATATTTAGGTGTTTCAAGGTGTTTCTGTCTTCAGCTGTAATTTGATTTGTTTGGGGATTATTTTTTAATATCAGTTTCTCCTCCTTCCTGCTTCACCTCCTCTTGCTGTAGCTATTTTTCCCTTCATTTATTTTTAAATAGTTGATTTGAAATATTTGATTCCAAAGGCCAAGGACTTCACCTGACATGAATAGACATAGCTTCACTGAAGTCTTGGCAGTGAAGGGCCATAGAAGTCATTGGAGCTGAACCCATTTATATCAAGAGCGTCCGGCGCTAAATATTGTGGCAGTCGAATGAAATGAGGAACCTGCTATGAGTTGTCATGAATAACACCGAGATGTTTTGTGTTTAAAAAAAAAAAAAATACATTGTACTAAAGGTCCATCAAATGGGCTTGGTTCTGTAAATCATCCCTTTTAAAGTGGAAGGAAAAATCCTAGCAAAATGGCTACAGTTTTTTATTGCTCAGGTGCTTGCCACTCAACAGGCAAGGCCTGATTGTACTGTATTCAGAATGGGTGCTAGTAATGACATAGTCTTTGTACTGCACTCCCCAAGGAGAAGAAGGTCCAGTCCATCAGCTGGGTGGGAGGAGTTGGCTGAAGACCCATCCCTGCCGTGCGTGGTGGATAGTCTGAGCTGTGTCTAAAGGCTGTTTCAGCTCATGCACGCTTCCCTCCTTCCAACACATATTCTGAAGTGCCCTAAATGTCTCGGAGTTAGGGCTAGGGTTTCACCAAGTTCTTTAGAATTAAAATCAATTTAACATGCCCCATTTCCTGCATTCCATCTATGAGGATTTATGCATGGATAATTTCTTGTTTCCTAGGAAACATCAACTTGTTGATACAACAGCTTAAAAACTACATGGCACTAGCACCTCTTCAATTCCAGCTCAGTCTGCTATACTGTTATATTTCTTGTGGTTTTTTAGCTTCCAATTTTCATTTATTTCTCCCGAACAAATCAATGCTCGAGTTACCTTTATTTAGAACCTGCCTTTTGGTCTGGATGAGCAATGCATGACTTCAGCGGTGCTCTGGGAAATGGCATTTTGATTAAAATAGAATTGGAGGTGGCATTGGAGTCACTGAGCGCTCACAGACAGAAAGGTCTGTTTCCTCTTAATGAGAAGCAGGATAAAAGATCCCCCAAATTTGAGGGCATTCAGAAGCTGAATCTGGTTCAGTTTTTGATGGCTGTGCTTTATTTTTGTCGCAGACTCCAAATCTGAACACTCCCAGCCTTTGTGGTTGTTGAAATCTAGAGCAAAAATTTACCTCTTGGATCCATCTCTGCTTTTGCTGTAACCAACACTGGATGTTGCATGTAGAAAAGAATTTTCCCTTTTACAAAAGAAAAAAAAGGAAAAAATATCTTTGTGCTTGAACTATTTTATAAAGAGTGTAGGTTGTTACTAGCTGCAAATTGACTGTTGAATTGCAACACACAAGGTGCTTTAAAACCCTGGGAATAAGTTGTTTGAAAGGCTGTTGAGGTTCAGAGAGTTACTTATAATTGTGACAACGTATGAAAGCAAGTTTTGTTTACTAGTTGGGTGGGGGGGGGAAGTCATGTCATATTGTGGTGTTGTGTTTTTTTTTTTAAATAATACTAACAGAAACTCCCAAAGGAGAATGTGTTGAGTATCAAATCTATCACATACAAAAACTGCATTAAAATTTGAGGTTGCAAAGCCAAATGCTCAGTAATTAAGAAATATCAGAAGTAAAGAATGCCTTTGAAACCTTAATTCACCCCCTTGTGTGCATATGTATTAGGGCAGTCTTTCATTATGGGATCATATCTCATACTTTTTTTCCATAGAACTTTGCCTGTGAACTGGGTTATTTTAAAGGCTTACAACATGGCCAGATTTAGGCAGATTTCCATAGAGATGGCACAAGATGCATCTCTAGAACTGAGGCCACCCTTCTGCCAGATGCCACAGAAGAGAGAGGCAGAATTTTTCAGAGTAAAAATTACTAGTCTGTGTATATACAGTGTGTGTGTGTGTGTGTGTGTGTGTGTGTACACACACACACACACACACACACACACACACACACACACACATTGCAAAGGAATGTTTTTCCTTAACCCCGTTCCCCAAAATGGTTGAGACACTTTAGCTGCTATCTTCAAAAAGAGTTCAGTCTGAGGCAAATACCTAACTATCTGAAAAATTTCTGCCCAAGTCGTTACAGGTTTGGCGCAATCATAAGCAACTGAAACCAGGGTCTTATAATGGGGAGAGTTGGGCAATAACATAAAATATGGTTATGAGATGGCAGCTGCTACTGCTTCCTCTATGAAGATTTTAAGACGTTACTAAAATACCATAGAAGAAATATACGCCAGAAAGGCACCACGGAGTATTCAGGATTGATTTCACCAGCATTATTGTAATTTCATGCTTCCTTTGTCAATACAAATGATGTGCAACCCCCTGCCCCGTTCCTAATGGCGATGCCATGTAATGACATTAAGATATGCAGCAACTCTTTACCTGCTGAGAATGAAGACAAATGATAAAATACTTGGAGGGTTTTGTTTCTTTTGCTTGCTGAGTGAGCAGTGTCCCAAGAGGATACTGGAGATGATTGGGGAAAATAAATTACTTCCACAAATAAATATTTTATCAAATTTTTTGGTTTGGTTTGAGCATAGGATTGCTTGCAACTAAGCATAGCCAGTGCCCTGTTTGGTAATCGTAGGAGGTTCATTTCCAAATAGATTCCATGTCACATTTTCTTGGATGTAGTAATAATTGTGCCTAATCCTGGTACCCTGCT